CCCCCCCCCCCCCCCCACACACACTTTTTAACATGGATTCTGATACTGCCTCTGCATAGCAATCACAGCAGACAAACAGGAAAATATCCTATCTGTACCTGGAAACCCAAGTCCAATTATTTCATTATCCCACAGAGTAAGTTTCAATGTTTTTTTTTTCCTTTTCTACCATTTATGTTTATTTATAAATGTCTTTTAATATTTAAATGTTATGACTAGATTTCTGGCTTATTTAAACCATTAAATAAAATGATGGTTTCCAGTGATGATGACAATTAAGAGCACAGAATATAATGAAACTTGATAGCATCTCTACAATCTTCCTCCCTATTAACTTGCACAGTTGCACATGTGTGTCGGCATTCACAGATTAAAGAAGCAATTAATCTGAACAGGGAGAACGTGAAACTGTTACTTAAATACACCAACAGATTGCAAGCCCTGGTTCCCTACTTTTTGTAAGGTCACAAGTAGAACTGCAACCAGCTATTTAAGTCTGTGCTCTCAAATCCCATAATTGTAATCAAATTTTAAGAGCGGATACTGGTGAATTACATCCCCATGTCATAAATCCACATTCTCTGAGATTTATGCACCCAGTGTTAACTGGCATGGTGATTTATATCAGCTATGATTAAAAGCTGAATGGCTTTATAGATCTTTATATAGTTTCCAAGGGATTAGATTACTAAAACAACAAAATGTCAAGGAGTATCATTTAATATTTTTGTTCATGGACAACCCTAGTGCACTTGGAGATGAGTTTTTATAAGCAACTAGTTGTAGAACATTTGGCATAAATAATGCTAATAGCTACAGTAATTTGTGTCAATTGCACTATCACAAATACAGATCTATAGAATGTATTAACAAGAATCACATCTGGGATATAAACCTGAAACTAAAATATACTTTAAAAAACCTTATACTATGTGCAGTGTGGGAACACAATAGACACAATATAGCTTGCTTAATTTTTTTTTTAATCGTACATGTGAGATAGTTGTATTGATGATCTACTAAATGTACTGGCACTCAGAATAAGTGGAGAACGGCAGTTTATAAATTACCCAATATCCACTTTACCCTGGTTTTCAATTTTCATTTCTCAGAACCACGAATTGCAGCTGTTCCTTAGGTGTTTGATCTACCCTCTCAAGAAGCCAATTTCTTTTTTTAATTTCCTCTGATGAGACTCAGAAGATGTTGGATAAAATATTGGGTGACGCCTTTTTTTTGACACTGCTATATATGTGTGAAACACCATACATGCTCGGGCTTTTTTGCTCTGCTACTTTGCAAAGTGCTCATCTCTTTAAAGTATTTTTCATGGAAATATCACTAAGTTAGGTAATGCAGGCCTTGACTATAGCTAGGGAAAAGGAGACTTAATCTGAATAGCAACATGAGTAATCAAAGCAGGGAGAAGACTTAAAATTAAAAAAAATATGTAGAGGAGAAAGAGAAATAGTAAAAAAGATCATCAGCAGCACAGATTCAAAACAGTATATTTATTGTGCAGTATGCAATGCCAACTAATAGTTAGAGAAGTTGCTTGTCTAATTCCCAGTACACATCATGCTAATAAAGCTATTTTATTAAAATATTAATAACTGGAAAGGAAGTTTGCAAAATGCTGTAAGAAAATCCTTCCTGCATAAATAGGATTATGCAGAATTTTTCAGCAAGGTAATTTAGGGTGGGGTTTTTTAATTATTCTTTCTGTTGCTATGGAAGTTTAAAGCCAGGGATATAAACAGACAAAGCAAATTTTTGGAGAAAGCTACTGTACTGTGCAATGGCAATCATTGCTTTTATAGGAAGTTCCCTTGCCCGCAGTAACACAGTGAAACAGGAGTGCAAACTCTGTATGCCCTTACGTAGCAAATAAGCAAATTATTTCTTGACAAAGTGCATTAGAAAAGGGGAAGGGAGGGGACCGATTCTCCATTTTGTGCGATATGAAAAAATTGTAGAGGCTTGTTATTTTATGTGCTACCAATAGACTTGTATTTACAGAAAACAATGCATTTGGCTTTCGCCATTTTTCAGTTTATTACTTAGCTTTACAAAAAAACTGAATTTATTGTTTGGCATAGCAGTTTGTGACGATACATTTTAGCCAAGTTTTTTTTCCTGTACTATTTATGTAGAACATTTGCTGTACTGGCTTGGCATGGTTCTGGTCCATTAAGTTATTTTGATATTGTTTTTGCTCTGATAGGATGGTTAGAATGTCACTTAACAAGATTTTCTCAAGATGGCCACTCAACATCTCCAGTGCTAACACTGACTGAAATACTCATATGAATATGTGCAAGACTTTCACTTCTGGGAATAAAGTTGTAAGTGAACTATTTCTTAGGTGCAACTTTGTGGAAGACAAGGTCACAAATAACATTGAAGAATATTCAGATTTTATCTATAAAAATATTTCTGTAGCATAAGCACTGCTTGTGACACAGATTCTGTACTTCTTTAGCTCTGGATACTGGGAGGACTCAACATATATTCATGAAGGATTCTGGCTGCAACAATGCTGCATCATTCTCTTTTGATTTCTTTTGTCTTGTATTATATATTCTCTTTGCCCCCACTTCTTTGACTACTAGAGAAGAGAATGTTCGTGTTCTCTTCAGCCTGAAATGTAAAACCCACATTGTTTTTCTTCAACTGTAGCTAAACATGTTAAAGAGGATAGAAGTAGGGTTGGAGTATTGCTGTAGCTATGATGGTCCAGGAAATATGTGAGAAGCAAGGGTTCTAAATGCCAAAAGAAAAGTGTTAAAGAAAATTAGTTTGCTAGCCTGGTAAGATATTGTTGTTACCTCTTTGGGAATCGGTGAGAAACTACAATGATGAGTGTTGTATTATAGCATAGATAGGACTCATCCCTGCCTGTGATCTCTTCAAGGAAGGGAATTGCTACCTTTTTAGAATAGGTCATCTTCTACAGCACTATGTCCATTTGTAGGGGACTATAAATAATCAGTCTAAATGCAGAAATACTTTAGCTAACGGTGGCATTTACATGCCCTCCATCCATCAGAGTGAGCTCTACTATGTCTTTAAACATCTCTAGGAGGAAGGGGAGAGGTCTTATCTCCATCTTTAAAAGTGAGGAACTGAGAAAGAGGAGCATAAGGGAGATATCCTAACCCCACTGAAGTCAATGGGACTTGCCTTGGGACACCAAGGAAATCTGTGGTACAGAAGGAATGGAGTTTAGGTCTCTCTCTCACTTTTTACATAAGTTTCCTGTCTGTCTGTCTATGTAAAGATGTGGGTTTTTTAATCTTAATGTAGTGGATGGAGTGAGGAACAGTGTGCTATGGGATAATGACTTTTTTTGAATGACTTGTGTATTTTTAGTAGGAGTGTGCGAAGTGGGCCGTATTCGGTTTGGATTTGGATTTGACCTGATTCAGGGCTGATTCAGGGTTGACTCAGATCACTGATTCAGCTGAATCTGAAGATTAGATGCTGATTTGGAGAATCAGCAATTTGGCCATAGACACAGCTTTAAATGTTTTTTCTACGTAACTTGAGGTACCATGTGTGGCTCATGAATGCTGAAACGGTGGGGTGGTTGGAACATCCCCCAGGAGGGTGGGAGGGCCCCCCCCCCCCCCCGGGTGCTCGGTGGTGGACCTGGAAGTGGACCAGAAATAATTCTGGTCCACTTCTGGGTCTTCTGCCAAGTGCATGGGGGATCTTCTCTGTTCTAGACTTTGAAAAGCTTGCACTGAGATGAACAAAATATCTCTGCCTATAAAATGAGAGAATATCATGTGTCTCTACAGCGCATGTTATAAATTAAAATAAGTATTCTTGGCCCCAGCAGTATAGACTTTAGACCAGAATCCCCAAGAGGTTTAGACACAGTTTAGCAATCCAAGTCCTTTGTATTCAGTGAGGAATTGACGCCTACAATGTGACTCTGAACTGAATGGATGGGCATTTATTTTTTCTGGCAGTGGCAGCAGTAGTACACTGGCAGCTGAGCACTCAACAAGAGGGAAGAGAAAAACTTTCCATGCAGAGTCTGATTAACTGCATAATGGAGTGTGGATTTCAGATATGGGCAGTAGGAAAATGAAATTCAGTGCCACAAAGGTGGAGCTACTCTTGCAGAAAGTTTAGTAACAAGTACTTCAGGTGACAGGGGACTGCTGTCTCCACTCTCCATGCCTATCTATTTTCTGGCTTCCCCACTGAGACTGCCAATTAGAGCCAGCTCTGATGGTGGCTTTTGACACCTGCGCTCACTGGGAAATGGACTAAGACTAGTATCTCATTGCATATAGGCTTTGAAATAGCATCAGACAGTACTGACTTGCAGCTGTTACCTGCTTGAGCTGGATTTTCACCTACACAGAAGCAACAAGAAGGCCCAGTTTGAGATTACTATTCCCGAATGTTTGAGAAACTTTCAAAAGATTTGTTTTAAACCATCATTTGTCTGTACCAAACTGGAATATGTGCGCCACAAATTACTTCCTGTGTTCTACTGGGGCCACACTCAACTTAGGGAGAGGCCTGGTGGAGTTTACTCAAGGAGGGGAAATTTAAAAGCACAAGGCACAAATAACACCCAGACAGCTGACTGTCATTAAAGTCAGTGGAAGAGTAGGCTGCCTAATTGTCCTTTGTACCTTGAAAAATGCTTCCCTCAGTCCTCAGAAAAGCAACATTTCAAGTATAAGTTAGCTTGAGTATTAGTGGCTAGAATTTGGCCCCTTGGTGGTTTTTTATTTTCTATTCCCTCTCCACTGCTAAGGTGGATATACAGCATCATATGTTTATGGCTGTTATCTATATAGATCAGCCAATTCTATAGCCTAACCATAACAGTGAGAATTCAGAGCAGCTTATGTGCTAAGAGCAAGTCAGTAGGTTCTCTTTTTCCTTAGGCAAAAATGTAGTGATCCTCAGGTCTATTGCACACAATGACCCCCTAGGGCTGAAAGAAGTAGGGAAATACCTGCGATGATACTGAAAACTGCTTTGTGAGCTCTACATGCTGTTTTCTCTTGGGTACAAATTCTATTTTACTTATAAAGCAAATAAGTGGACTTAGGCCCTAATCATAATTCTGTTCCATCCTGCTCAAGTCCCTCAGAAAGAGGGCAGTGGATCCCTTTCCTTCCCTTCCTCAATGCTTTTTTGAGACTCAGTCTTAAGAATCAGACAGTGGTATATTACAAAAGTAGATGGGTGTATTAATGGATTTTCAGGGACTCGAGCAGGGTGGAATAGAATCTTGTTGAGGTACAAAAGTCCTTACGTTCAGTAGAAAAGAATCTGCCAGTGGCCTGAACCATCAGGAAAAAAAAAAGATATACATGTTTTGGATGAAAGCCTTGCCCTATTGGCATTGATGGGAGTTTTTCCACTGACTTTACCACATTATATAATTCTCTCCTATTTATTTCCTAGGTCAAATGTCACCCAGCAGATGCAGCCATAAGATATTTTCAACTATAATGGACCTATGTATCCGAAAGGCCATCTGCCCCTTTGAACAGATATGGAATTGAGCCTAGGGTCCCCCATCTAAGGAGACAGGATGCCATGATGACTCTGTGGGCTTTTGGAAGGCAGGGTAGATATGTACCTTTATCACTCCTCAACAAGTCTGTTAGTACTGTTATTAATTAACTTGCATTGTTGCCTGCCTCCCCAGAAACTGGCATCCTTAAGAGGATGAAAAGGGTTCCTTTAAGGTAAAGATCATATTACAGACGTTAAAAAAACAAACAAACAAACAGAACTTTAAATTTGGTGTGCCCGCAAGCCAATCCCAGCACATGCCCAGAAGAGGCATTGCATTAGTTGGACCCAGCTTGCCCAATATCTGTATAGATCGGGTGCTTTAGTGGGGCATTTTTGGCACTTTTATCTAATAGCTGATTGAATCAGCTTGAGATAAGTGTCAAAAAGTCCAGCTGAAATGCTTGATCCCTACAGACGCTGCAGAGCTGGGTCAAAACTAATGCACTGCTTCTTCCGGTAAAGCGTGTTTTCTTTTTTATTTTATTTTCTTTTTAAAAATTAAAAAAAAATTTTTTTTTATTATTTAACGTCTGTAAACAGCCATGGGGTTTAGTTGGATGAAGAAGCATCAATACATCTAGGGGCAGCTTGGCTCCTAAATCATGGATAGAGCAGACTGATTTTTCTTTGATCCCCAGCTCATACACATGCAGGCTGCTTCAAAGTGTTGTCTTGGATAGCAATTATTACTACATTTCTTCCAAGTTTAAAAACTCACCTACTTATTACATTTTTTCCCTTTTCTTGGACTCAGTTTTGTCCACTGAGGTAAATTACGTTACTCATCTATCTTTATTTAAACCTTCTACAAATTTCTCTATTTTAGGCAGGTTTAATTAGCTTGGTAAAGCAGGCTCATTTGGGGTAGTGTCAAGCTGTTTTGGACCTAGAAATAACTGCATCTGGTGAAGAGAGTAGGATAGATTGGTCACTGTGCAGCAGAACAATGCTATTTGTTCAGCTGACAAGCAAACATAGTTTAACGTATTGTCTGGACATTTCTTTTTCTTGGCTTTGTATATAAATTTTTAAATCACCTGCCTGTAACAAGCAAGCTAAAATGGTTGAGTGATACCCACACTGGACCTACTTAGCCCTGGTGTGAAGTGAAATCCGTGTGAGTTGGTCTTCCTTGTGCCAGGGATGAATTTAGTTTGTGTTTTTTTTATACGCTTATGTTACAGCAGTGTTCATGGGCCCCACCCAGGAGCTGAGGCCACAATGTGCTAGGCCCTGGATATACAGAAGAGAAGGACTCTACTGTTTCACACATGAAATAAGTAGAGCTTGGAGAATAAAAAAACCACAAGCTTTCTGTTCACTCATCCACTCGTATACCTGGTGAGTTCTGGCCTAATGTAGGGA